TTTTTTTTTTTTTTTTTGTAAGCGAGAAAATACCGATTAAAGAGAAACATACATTGATTGGTTGCTTCCTATATGCACCCTGACCAGGGATTGAACCTGCAACCTTTTGGTTTATGAGATGATGCTCCAAATGACTAAGCCACCCGCCAGGGCAAGATCATGTGAACATTATTGGATATCATTTTTGTATAGGTTCACACACAAAAGGGAAGGCAGCTTTCAGTGGGTGATGTGAAATCCTGTCACTATAAGGATGTGAAAAGAGGCCAGAGGGAGGGGATATCATGCCATAGTCTAGACTTAGGTTTTTGCCTCTCTGCTAATGCCAAAACCTACCCATTAACTTTAAAACCCGGGCAACAATTCTTTTAAAGTACTATTCTTAAAAAGTCTAATTAGCCAGGCTGGCATGGCTCAGTGGTTGAGCACTGACCTATGATCCAGGAGATTGCAGTTCGATTCCCAGTCAGGGCACATGCCCGGGTAGCGGGCTTGATCCCCAGCAAGGGGGTGTGCAGGAAGCAGCTGATCAATGACTCTCTCTCATCACTGATATTTCTCTCTCTTCCTTCCTCTCTCTGAAATCAATTAAAATGTATTTTAAAAAATCTTTAAAAAAGTCTAAATGTTTATTATGCAAGTGTTGATTATGCTCAATTTTCAACTAGTTTAAAGTCCTTATAAAAACAAAGTTATTTACAAGTCCTGGTTACAGTCCATAGAGATAGTGCTTTTGTCAATCCCCATAAAACCCTCTGCCACACATAATTTCCCCCATCTGTGCCCCTCAGTCCCTAATATCAGGCCTTTTTTGGGGGGACTTACAGGGCAACAATGGCTATACAAAAACTTGAGTAATGAGCTAAGAGACATATGAAGAGCTGAGAAGTTGTGCTGAGCTAAGAAATACTAGGGACAAATTAAAAGAGAAAATAGAAATTTTCCTTCCTAAAATAAAAGTGCCAACTGCTTCACTAAGTGTGAGTTGTTCTGTTAATGGCCCTCAGATCAAGAGAATAGGCCTGGTAATGCCACTGGCTTTGTGCCTCTCTGTGCCAAAGGCCACACAGGGGTCTTCCATGGCTTAGAAGCACAGCCACAGATTCCACAGGCAAAACTTGCACTGGAGCCTACAAACTGGGAGCTGTCACCCCTGTCAGCCTAAAGGCAGGCTTTGGCTCCTGCTAAAAAATCTTTTTTTAAGTTTCAATTTTAAATTAGAAGAGTTCACATAAAACAGCTGGATTTCTGGATTCTCTTGGGGGGAAAAAAATTTAACAAAATTGGAAACACTAAGGCTGTATTCGCTATGGTAAAATGGGCTTCGGGTAAGTAGCAGCTTCTGCCCCTCTCCAGTCTGCCATACCCCCAGAGCTCCCTATGGTGCTCAACACTGAAGCCAAGTCTGTACCATCTCGCATCCACTGTTTTCTTTATAGTGCAAGTAAGAGTAAAGTGGGAAAGCAAAGAAATGCTGAAGAACTACATGGTTAAGTAAAAATGGGAGAAAGAATACTTCTTTTGGAGGTAAAAATGACCATATACTTCTATTTATTTATTTTTTATCCTTACCCAAGGATATTTTTCCCATTGCTTTTTCAGAGAGAGTGGAAGGGAGGGAGAAAGAAACATCCATGTGAGAGAGAGTCATCGATTGGTTGCCTCCTGCACATGCCCCACTGGGGCCTGGGGCTGGGGATCGAGCCTGCAACAGAGGTACATGCCCTTGACCGAAACTGAACCCGGGACCCTTCAGTCTGTGGACACTCTAACCACTGAGCCAAAGTGGCCAGGGCAATCATATACTTCTAAATACTCTTCCCCTCAAAAGTCATCCCTTAAAAATGGAAGATTTGCCCGGCCAGGCGTGGCTCAGCGGTTGAGCATTGACCTAGGATCCAGGCGATCAGGGTTCGATTCCCGGTCAGGGCACATGCCCAGGTTGCGGGCCCGATCCCCAGTCGGGGGTGTGCAGGAGGCAGGCAATCAATGACTCTCTCATCATTGATGTTTCTATCTCCCTCTTCCTTCTTCTGAAATCAATAAAGATATATTAAAAAAAAGAGGAAGATTTATTTTCAAGGAATTGCAAAATCTCATCTATTACAGCACTCTCCAAGTTCCTTTATTTTGAATAAAGATCTGTTTGGGGAAGAAATCTCTCAGCACGAAATGATCTTGATTACTCTAAGTTCTGGGTATTTAACAGAGATTTTGAACAAAAAAGGCAAAGTAATTTCACACTGATTTAGTAATTATTACTGGAGGTATGACTTCATAATAACAAGGGTTAGATTAGTTACCTCGAAGCTTTAAAGAAAAAAAAATTAAAAAGCAAGGCCAACAGATGCTTGTGGCTTCTGAAAAAATTACCAAAAACAGCATACTACACTGATTCACAAAGTGCAGGATCATACAACATTTAGAGGGAAGTGAAGATGGTGCATTCTGGAAAACTGATAGATGATTCAGAAACAAAGATGATGAAAATAGTGTCAGAAACCCACAAGAAAAATCTGAATAAAAATGTTTCAGAAAAAAGGGAAAACAGGATTTTCCAAGAAAATATAATTTGTATGATTCTAAATATATATCCAACCAAAATAGTAAGTAATTATAGGTAAACTATTTGATCTACATCCCCTAAAACTTTTGGCCCAAAAATGTTTTTGAGGCCCTTTTCATTAGTGTTATCTTACTTTCTGACACTTACTACATTCCTATGACTTGATAAGCAAACAAAATATGTATCAGGAGGCCACAGTGGTTCCCATAGAGGCATCTAAGCCTGTAGCTCTTGGATGCAGCCCCCCTTAGACAGGAACTCCCCCACTCACCTTCTCTCATCTTTTGATCTAATTCATCCAGTGTTGGCTCGATCAACTCCCAGCCATCTGGGGGAGCTTTCCGGCTTCTTTTGACTTTAGGCATTTTTCCCCACAAGATAGTTTGCAAAGATCTGGGAGGGAAAATTAAATGAATTAGTTTCTGAACCTCAGAACCCCAAAGGCCTTCACCGGCATCCACTGTGGTGCACATTCACTTCTCTAACTCTGTTACCTCACCTGTAAATGAAAATAATAGAACCTATGTTATGGGGTCACTGTGAAGACTAAACTATAATTGTATGTAACATGCCTGGCTTTTAATGTGTACTTAATGGGTTTTTGTTGTTATCATTAATTGAAACCAACTATTAGCCTGGCCCTGTACTGGGTATTGGGAACACAGAACAAAGAATAAGACACAATCTCTATACCTGAGAAGGTGACATTCTAGCAAGAAGACAGAAAGTAAAAAGGCAATTACGAAAAGTGTGAGAACTATGATTGGGGGAGCTGAGAGGATGTGTGTTTAAAAGGGAAAAAGAATCCCGGCCGCTGTGGCTCAGTTGGTTGGAGCCACATCCCGCCTACGTGAAGGTTGAGGGTTTGATTCCTCGTCAGGGCACATGCCTAGGTTGCTGGTTCAATCCCTGGTCTGGGCATGTACAGGAGGCAACTGATTAGTGTGTCTCTCTCACACACTCTCTCCCATCCTCTCTAAAAAAATAAATAAAAATTAAAAAACAAAGTACCTTAGGTCTGCTTCCCAAGAGTGTAACTGAAAGATCTCTCTTCAATTACAGCTTGTCCTTGTCCAGCTCTACCAATTACTCTGTGACTTTGGGGAGTCACATTCCCTCTCTGGTACTCAGTATCATCTGTAAAATAAGGGTGGTGGGTTACCTGGATTGGTAAGGTCTTTTTAAACTCAACAAACATACTACATAGAGCCAAATGTAAATGGCAAAGAATTTTTTTCAAACCTCACAGTATTTCCTAGTTGGCAAAGAGAACTCAGGTTATCTCTTACCTTTAAGCAAAGCAGACTCCTCTCTCCCAAATTCATTTACCTTCTGTAGGGTGCCCTACTGCTTACAAAGTCCCACCCTCACCCCGGTCCCCTTTCATGAATTCTCCATAACCATATAGATGAGGAATTAAACTCCAAAAGGTATAAAGTCAAAGTCCCACAGCTTGGAACTGGCAGTGTCTGACTCTGACTGGGGACTTCTGACTCCCAAATCAGTGGTCTTTGTACTTGTCTCCCCTACGCTGAAGCTAGAGGTGGGTGGAACCTGGCTCCTGCCTCAGCGCGCAAGAGCTGGCAGGACAAAGACATGGTAATAACCTATCTTCGATCACCCAGGGAAATTCGAGGGCCCTGGCCGAGCCTGTGAGTCAGAGGAAGCCTCCCAGGGGAGGTAACAGGTAGGAGGTAAACTAGATCAAGAAGAGGTGTCGGGAGGGATAAGTGAGATAGTAGCGCTCGGCAGTGGCGGCGAACGGAAAGGCTTTCGGGAGAGAGGGAGAGCGTTACAACCGAAATTGAAGGAAAGGCTCATAGGACGGCATCTGAACCGGGCTTACGACAAGCAGCAGATTTTAGACAGAAAACGTTCCTGGCAGAGAAAACAGCGTGCATGTGTGGGTGGGTGAGTGGGGTTAGAAACAAGAGATCCCAAATCTCCCATCCCCTCTGCAGAACGAGCGAGGCGCCGCCTCCTCTCCGTAACTCACGCCGACCTCCCGGTCCAGAGGCCCGAACCCATCCCAGTCCAGCCGCTTAGATCGTCCTCTGGGCCAGTGCAGACCTCCAATCCTTGGCCCCAGCCATTACCAAAGTACTCGAGAACAGAGAAAAAACACCCACCGAAACCTCCAACGCCTTCGGCCGTAGCTTCTTTCCCGTCTGCTTCCGCTTCCCAGGTGATCCCTTCAGAATGAGGTCTTCGCAGAGCCCCACCCCACCTCGCACAAATATTGCGTCATTTTAGGTGTCCGCAGCTCTGCCTGTAAAGAATACCAGAACTGCTGTTGCTTTTTGCCCTCACTTTCCGGGTGTTGACCAGCCGACTCTAGCGTCTCCCCGGCCGGGGAGACTGGGGGCGCTGTTGCCCGGCAGCACACGAGCCTGGACTCAGGCGGCGCGCGGGACAGTCCAGCTTCGCGCGCAGGCTTCCCAGAGGTGCCTAGCCCTCGCGGCGGCGGTGGCGGCGGCGGCGGCGGCGGCGGGCTGAAGACTCTGTGCTGCGCGGAAGAAGTCGAGCCTAAGATATTTCCGGTTCCGGTGTCAGTGTGAGGCGCCGCCGCCGCCGCCGCTGCCGCAGCTGCCCGAGCCGCGATGCCTAAAGGAGGTGAGGAGCGGGCGCGCGTGATTCGCGGGCCTCGAGGGGCGACCTCAGCCTAGCTCCCGCCGTCCTCTCAGCCTGCGGGGGTCTCGGAGATTGGCGCAGGGGGCGGACGTCCGTCTAGGCTGAGGGCCAGGCCTGGGCCTCGACGCCGAATTAGCCAGATGGGGAAACTGAGGACCATCGTGGCCTCGAGCCACTCCCTTGGGGGTCTGCGGAGACTCGGCTCTGGGTCCTTGCCGACGCAGAAGGCCAGATCTGGGGCGCTCTCCTCCACGCTTTGGGGGTCTGGAGCTTTCTCTATTCTAGGCTCACCGGGCACTCCGTCACGGTGTCCAGGGCCCTCCTGCCTCGTGTGTAAAACGTGGGCCCTCTCGGGCTCTGAGCGAGCCAGGCCTGCCTAATGAGACATAAGGTGATGCTTTTGAGCCTGGCAGACTCAGCTTTGACTGCCTTACTCAGCAGCGGCTTGATGTGTGCCTTTGAGCCCGTCGCTTAACCTTCCAGTGTCTCGGTTTTCTTATTTGCAAGTGGGGGTTATAGTTGTACCTACCTCATAGTATTAATGCGAGGCTTAAACCAGGTAATCCCCATGGAGTGCACAATGCAGTGCTGGGCAGTCAGGTGCCTTAACTAAGCCTTAACTATTGTTATTTGTAAGACTTTGTCAGTTCCTTGGCCAAGAAGGTAAAGAATCCATAGCTTCCCAGTACATTGTTTACTCTCTTTAAGAGTCAGTAGTTCTTGATTTGAAGCCCAGCCTTTGGCTTTGAACAAATTATTTAACTTCTTCCAGATTGTTTTCCTCATCTGGAGCACGTGGCTGATAACCCTTAGGTTCTAGAGTTGGGGTTAGGGGTAATAAAATGATAGAGCACTTGAAGTGCCTGGCTAGCTTCTGGCACAGAACAGATATTTAGTTAATGTTGATAGCTCATGTGTTGTGTTGGTTGAGATGTATCGGCACGCAAGAAAATCTACTTGGAGCTTTTTCAAACCTAAATGACTTCCTGACTCTATTTCCAGAGATGTTGGACTTTATAGAGCTCAATCCATTTAAACCTAGGTATTTACTGGTTTATTCTTTGGTAGGGAGAGCCACATCTACTCTGTGTTCCTTAATCTTCTGTTATGTGCAAGGAGGAGCTAAGTGAGCCCTTCCAACTCCAGTATTCTGGCTCTAGGAGTCCTACTTAATAGATACTTTGAGCCAAGTTTGGAGGGTACAGTTAGAAAGTCCTAAATATGAATTCCTGGTTAAATGACATAGCCTTTTGACTTTTGAAAAGCTTTGTGTAAAACAAGATTTACGTTTCTTGCTTGTGCTAATTTGCTTCAAAAGCGAGCAAAACATGAAGATGTTAAAGTATCAAATTCCCCATGAACAAAGGACCAATATTTGTTTCTGTTGTATAACTGGGAAGCATTTTTAAAGGTATGAAGAGCGTCTTATAAAAGTTGTAGACCAAGCTAAGGTTAGTATCCCATAGTCAAGTGTGCAGGATGGGAGCCTATATAGTAGCCAATTTTGAGTTGTTACTATTTTCTGGAATATTAAAAGGGTAAGAAAGGGTGTTGGTTTCTTATAATCGCAAGCTTGATCTTTCACAATAGGACTTTCATGAGCGTAGACTGACACTCTCCTGGGAACCCAGGTAGTCATTAAAAATGGGTGGTGTACTTTGTAGCAGCCCAATTATGGCTCTGCAGCTGCTGTCTAAGAAATTAGGGAGGCCAGTATCTCTGTTGCTGTCTCTGGAGTCCAGACCAGCTCTCGCTGTCTAATATAGATTCTCTGCTATCAGTGAGAGTGAGATACTGGAAATCAGGTGGACCACACCGTTCAGGAAAGGTGGGGATGGGTCAAAGCCACAGCCACCCCAGTATCCTCTGGGACCAGCAGAAGGGGTGCCACCTTGCTATAAAACTGGCTGATGGCTTTAGCAAGGGTCAGTCTATAAAACTGATACTCTTAGACGAACTTTAATTGCTACTCATATTTTAGATAGTAAGTCAGGTTTATTTTCAACTTGAGCTATGTTTCTTACTCCAAGCACAAGAAAGTTTTCTCCAATAGGTTTTAAGTTTTCTCTTTCTGTCATACCACTTAGGCGAACATGAAGTATTTGACATTCCCTAACATGTAGTAATTCACCTATGTGACTTTGTCTCCCCTACCCCCCAATACTGTATATTAGAGAGAAAAGTAACAATCACAACAAACAGTGCTTATCCCATGCCAGGCACTGTCCCAACAGCTTTACATATGTTAAATCCATCTTCATGACAACCCTGTGAGGTAGGGACACAGATGAAGAAGCTGAGACTCTTAGAGGTTAAATACCCGCCCAAAGTTACAAAGCTAGTAAGTGGTAGAACTGAGATTTGAACCCAGGGTTGGACTGCAGCATTTGTGCTCTTCACCACTCTGTTTTAATCTTAAGTCTTCTTGTCTATAGAATGGGACCAGTTGTGACTCCTGTACATAACTTTGTTCTGAGGATCAAATGAGCTCATGACTATCTGAGTATTGCAAGTAAAAAGAACTGTAGTGACAGCAGGGTGTAAGTGTTAATGTTCTCATGATTGCATCTGAATCTGCTGTTTAGATTCTAAGGGACCAGGGGATTTAGCCAGTCACTACATGCAGTATACCCTCCCCCCATATCCTCCCCTTAGGTCTTGTTTATGGGAGCCTGCATCCAGCACATAGTTTAGTGCTGCATCAGGTGGTCACATGTTGCCTTTTTGTTCCTTAGAACATGTGGGGATGGGGGAAGTATAGGTTTGGGTAGTGCTTGGTGAGGAATAGGTGAGGTCTGCAACCTCTGATAAGAGTGCTTCAAGCAGGACACAGCTCTCTTGGGCTCAGCAATCAAGGAGGCTGCTTCCCTTCCACCTTCCTAAACTGCCAGTCTTCTTGCAGGGAGAAAGGGAGGCCACAAAGGCCGGGCACGGCAGTACACGAGCCCCGAGGAGATCGATGCACAGCTCCAGGCTGAAAAGCAGAAGGCCAGGGTGAGTATATGCCTGTCCAGGCCATTCCAGTGTCCCAGGGTGGTGCTCAGTCTCTGAGACCCAAAGAGGCCAGGCAAGGACCACCCATTCTCAGGAAGAAGCCTACATCTGGAGTTTGGGGGAGCAGCAAAGGAACAGGCAGGAGTCTCAGAACAACCAATGCCAATCATCCTCTCGTTGGATCAATTAGAGCTTTGTTCACTCAGCAGTGGTTGCCTTAGTGAGTCTGTTCTTGTTCCTCTGTTCCCACCTTCCAGGGGCCATCCCTCTGCCAGGCTCTACCCATCCCCAGGTTGAACTCCCAGCACCACCCCTTGTCTGCTCTTTCCATGCAGGACTGCTTGCCAAACCCAGCATAATATGATGCCCTGCCTTCCCACATCCCTACCAGGCAAAGTAACATTTGTTCCCCCAGACCTTGCTCAATGCCACCTCTTTTGTGACTCACTGGTGCTACCCACCCTTCCCCCTCCAGTGCAAGTTTAGTTGTTACTTTTAATCTGTTTCCACAGTGCTTTTTCCAGCCCACTTGTCAGGAAACAAAATATGTTTCTGTCATTATGGGTGTTCATGTCCCCTACCATACTATTAGATCCTCATCTGCATAAGGGCCGAAGGGACCATAGTCAGGCTAGGGTAGAGGGGCCGGGGTAGAGAAAAGGAGGGCCTGCCTGGTGAGGGGGCTGGCAGCTAAGCAGGACCTTGGAGAATATGTGGTCAAGTGCAAAGGGGGGGAAGGACTTACAGTTTTTGTAAGGGATCTCTTTGCTGGGGAGGCAAGAAAGGTAGAGGGAAGTGGTATGCCAGGGTATTGTCTTGGGAAGCTGGTGTAGCAGGGCATCTGCATGGGCAAGTCTGCCACTGATCATGGGAGTGGAAAGTGGGGGAGGACTTGCCCAAGAAAATGTGTACGATTTGGCAGCTGCAGATGGCAGCGGGGGAAGCAGGAGGGGAGCTGAATAGTACTAGCCCCACAGCTGAGTCCCTCTGACCCTGGAAGATAAGATACCTAGCCTGAGAAGGGGAACAGGATTTTTTTTATTATTATTATTTTTTAATATATCTTTATTGATTTCAGAGAGAGGAAAGGAGAGGGAGAGAGAGAGATAGAAACATCAATGATGAGAGAGTCATTGATCAAGCCCATAACCGGGGCATGTGCCCTGACCGAGAATCGAACCCCGATTGCCTGGATCCTAGGTTGATGCTCAACTGCTGAGCCACGCCCGGCCAGGCGGGAACAGGATTTTTATGGCTGTGTGAGGGGCTTGCTGGACTGTGGGAATGGCTTCCAGGTTGTAGAGTTAAGTGGATAGCCTGCCTCTGACCCAGGTCCCCCACGGGGGACCGTGGTCTCTGAGTAGGGCCCTTGTCATCCTTGGTCTCAGCCTTTTCAAGGTCTGCAGCCTGGAGGTAGTTGGGATGGGGGTGTCATAGTCTTGGGGGTTTGTTTTGAATTTTTAATTTAGTAGGTTTTCCATTCTGAAATAGGAAGAAGAGGAACAAGGAGATGAAGATGGAGATGGGGCTGCAGGTGACCCCAAAAAGGACAAGAAATCACTAGACTCAGATGAGAGTGAGGATGAAGATGATGATTACCAGGTACTGAGTTTGGTCAGGGCCTGGGACCTGAACTCATTCAACAAACATTTATCAAGTACCTGTTGATTACCAGTAGATGGAGACAGAGCTCTTATGGGCTTACATTCTGTAGGAAGATACAGCATGCGCCGCATAA